GTGCCCTAGTGGCCCTCGGCCTGTGCGGAGGGCTGTGGGACCGTGACGCGCGGGAATCCCGCGCCCTCCACCTTTTCCCCATTGCCCGCCTCCCTGATCCCAGGCGCTCACAGGCGCTCCCACGCGCTCCCAAGCGCTGTCAGGCGCTCCCAGGCGCTCCCAGGCGCTCCCAAGCGCTCCCAGGCGCTCCCAGGCGCTCCCGAGCGCTCCCGAGCGCTCCCAGGCGCTCCGAGGCGCTCCCAAACGCTTCCAGGCGCTCCCAGGCGCCCCCAGGCGTTCCTAAGCGCTCCCAGGCGCTCCGAGGCTCTCCCACGCGTCTCTCCTCCTCTTCCTCGTCGTCCTCGTCCTCCCCTTCTTCCCCCAGGCTCCTCGCCCAGATCACCCCCCACAGTTCGAAGAAGAGAGCCTGCGTGAGCATGAGTTTTCGGAGCTCTACGTGGATATGGCGCGGATCTGCGATTGGCTCTGCGCGCCACGGATGGGGGGTCCAGCGCATAGCCGAGAAGTCCACGCAGAGCTCCAAGAGTTTCTGCTCATGCGTGTTTATATATATATACATATATATATATAAACATCTATTGTTGTGGACGACGACCAATGGAGAGGAAGCATGTTGCCCAATCGTTTCCAGATGTTCAATATATGGTAAAAACATGAATTCAGCATGTAGGAAAAACATGGAAAACACATGCGTCATTCAAGGATCGGGTTGTCAGGGTGCCCACCGTCATGGCATCCCCAAACCGATCGCCTTTTGTGCGCACGTGGCGGAGGAGCTGGGCGGGCGCGGCGGGTGGCCTGCCGAAGCTTCTCGTCCCCCGATGGCCCCAGGGACCCGCGGAAGCCTTGGTGTTCTGCTGTTCCAGCCTGCTTTGGCCCTGGAGCCAAGCAGGCACTGCAACGTGGGGGCTTCCACGCGCTGGGCCCTGGGAGGCGACGCTCGCTCGACACCGTTTCGATGCGCTTCTTCTGGGCTCGAGATGGCTCCTGGGATGTGGTCCTGAAGTATCATGGGGGCCACATAGCCTTGGGGTACCTCAAGACCCTCAGAGCTCGACGAAGACCGTGCCCCAAGACTTCAGACCGCAGGGCTTCCTGTCCTTCCGTGCGTGTGTGTGTGTGTGA